CCTGTCTGATTATTTTGTTCTAGTGCCCACAGGATAGCCCGAGTTATGACTCGGCCGTCCTAACATGTTTGCAGTTTGACTTGTCCTGCAGCCTTATTCTAATCTATCCCAACGAAAATAACTTCAGCGACAAAACTAAGGGAGACCGTAATGACTCCCTCTGGCTTATTAGCCGTCATTAGGCAGCCCTACCCAATACAGGTTTGTATCGCCTGTAGCTCGGACCTCGCTTTCTGTTGATTAGAATTCCAGTAATTTGCCCACTGAGCTCAAGCCAGCTAGCGTCCTTTACCAGTTAGTATACCCAGGCGGAATTACGCCCATTTAACGGTTGGTATTCTGACGTGATCGAAATATCTTGGGGTAATGCTGCATGATAAATTGTCTCTTCTGTCTGCCAGAGTTTCAGCCGGTGTTGCATGAGGCACGTCACCTAATGTAGGTGTTCTGCATTTGTGTCGACTACGTATGATCAACTTTTGTCTGAACTGTCATACTGGGCAGTCGCACACAAACAGTCCAAGACAGTTTGCTCAAAGATCTCGAATCAAGAAGCAGGAGTTATGTGCTATAGTGTGGTCGTTATTGGACTGTCGACTGATGGTTGGTCTGCGTCGCATGAATTTAGCAACTACAAGCAACTTTCGGTTTGTTTATCGTAGCCGTGAAGACAAATTGTTCGCCTTTGTTGCCATGACACAGTCTCATTTGTTGCTTAATAAAGTTTTAGATTGCATCATATCTGCCTAGCATTGCACAAACTTTATCTTGCTGTCACACGCGGTGTGATTCTGCTCCTGCTCCAGCCGACCCTTTAACACGAACATATCCTAGTATTTTGTCGACCCATTCTAGTCTTACTTTTTGTTTTTACTGGCCATTTTAGGCCATTGATTGCTTGCCGTTGACATTAGATCGGACCTCTAAGGCGATCCAGAACAATTATTCTGTCCTGTATTTCGAATGGACCTGTGATCCGCACTGCTGTGTAACTTTTTGTACATTGCCTAAGTTACTTGTGCTTACAAGTCCCTCAAACATTCATTTGGATAGAAGTTTCGACGTCTAAAGCGTTAGTCCTGATGGGTAATAATGACAGACAATAATTAGCTGAGGTGCATTTTTCCCTGAATGCATTTGTTTGCAGTACTGACTGTGGATCTGTATTCTTTATAAGCAGCCATCTAGACCGTCCCACAGATCTCAATGGTTAAACTCCCGCAGTATTCTGTGCCACTCCCAACGTCACTCGGGTTCGGGTTTGTTGAAAAGCGAGACAAAGGTAGTCACATAGCCAGTGAATAAGTTCAGTGAGGTCAAGGCCGGACATCCACCGGAATAATACTAAAGACTTCATGATTCTTGTAAAGAAGAGGCGAAACTGTATTTTAGTTTTACTCCCTGCGTTTTGCCTATAGTGGCCATTCTGTACATCGCAGCTGTGCGACTTAATGCACTAGAACCCAAAACTAAATTACTTTATACGCAAAGCGGCAGCTGATGTCTCTATAACTTCGGCTCAAGTTCTGGTATTGTGAGTACACAGGTTAAAGGCAAGAAATTTTCTTGTACTTTTGCTGTTCTGCAATTTTCGTAAACGCCGTCCTGCGGCTGAATTGTTTTTATTTCCGCAGGCGTGTATCATTGGATGAGGACTGGATTCTGCGCTAAAATCTTAGCTGCTTCAGGGTTTCATTTGAGCTAAACTGCCCTGATGCTATCGCCTTGCCAACGTCAGACTGTAGTGTTGGGTAAACGAGGCCGCTAAATTAATTATCGCATTGACGATGTAAAACCTAGGTATTTTAAAACGGCATATCTGAAACGGGGAATATGCTCCTCGCAACTCATAGCGTGAAAAAGTAGACATTTGGATATATGGAGGCGAATATACGATTCCCTGGTTGTTTTTGCAAATAAAGACTAATGCGCGACTACCGCAACTGTAGTTTTAAATGTATGGAAATAATGTATTTGTCAGACTAACAGTATAAGCACCCTAACGTTGCCCCAACTGACGCTGCCCTGGGTATGTGGGTAATGTTTCGACAGTACCTTTGGGTTTTTCAGGGTCCCTGATTTAACCGTCCCTTCCTTTACGGTTGTGAATTCTGTCTGTAGAAATGAGGAGCTTACGCTGAACGTTTCTGACCATCGTTGCTTGGAAATGTTTCCTTGAGTGAAGTACACTGACCTGAATAGGATGTCTCACACCCACCACGATATCTTGTCGAAGGTGTATCAGGTCACCTGTTTGATGCTGCCTCCTAACCCAAAGCGACAACCTAGACGTCAGTCCAAAACTGCGCTCGCCATCAAGATATGGTGGTGGTTATTGCCCCCAGGATTCTTTCAATCTACTAGGTCCTTCACCCAATATTTTCGCGCATTTAGAGGTTCTATCCACAGCCATATTGATGCAGATTAGATCTGCGCCTGTATGAATTATCCACGTAATCACTGAAGGTGATCCTCGCCGAGCAATGCCTGCGTTTTTCAGTTTCCGACTTAGAACTGACGTGTGAGCTAGCTATAAGTCCTGTTTACGTTCTCACCTGTTTGTGTAACGTGTCGTAACCCGTCTAGATAGCTGTGTTCTTTTTTTCATTTTAAAAGTCGGAACGCGAGTCTCGTACTCACTCCCCAACCCGTATTTTGTTTTCAATAGACTTTCTTCCTTACGGTGGTGCCGTTCTCTGCTAAAATTATTTCAACGCAATCTTGTCTTTTGACCCTATAGTGGATGACTGTCAAGGTGTAATTCCTCTCACTCTCCCCATTCCTTCTATAGAATCCCAAGCTCTTCGTGGACACCATCATTCAAGTTCAGAAGAAGAATCTTGATCTGGTGCTTTCGGGCTTTTCCATGGACCCAGCTTTCACAAGGGCTCTGGATAAGGGCTCAGACCGTTTTATCAACCGGAATGCCGTGACCGACCTGGCTGGAAGTCCTCGAAAGGGACCAGAGCTTCTCGCAAAATACGTGGACACGCTATTAAAAAAGGGGTCAGTTGTCTTTTCTGTTTTCAAGTTTTTATCAGTCACGTGAACCTTTTCTCACTGTCACCAGTGGTCTTCATGTACCGTTTTTCCGCCTATTTTTTGAGGTGTCGGCCTGCTGACGTAGGTCAGGTGCAAGCTTTTAACCAAGGGCATTTTTCTTAACAGCAATCAGATCCTTGCGCCGTCCTAGTGGCTGGTTGGTCGTACACTTTGTCCTGAACATCTTAAATTTGGCGTCCAATTGTGAGCGATGGCACGGAGTGGGGTGCAAATAAAGTGTCGTGTACAGCCGCCCTTTATTGAGATGAGTGACTGCGATTCCGTACGGAAGGTTGTAAAGTATGACTCTCAAAATCCGACGCTTGATTTGACTTCTAATCATACTGTTTATCGAGATTATTCTTTCCTAAATGAGTACTTCAAATCACAGCGTTGGGGCCGTGATCATTTTGTATGTGCGATAACTATTGTTACTTGCTTAGTGGTTTCTCCGCATGAATGGTCAATAAAAATGGGTAGAACAAGGGAGTGCGTACTCATGTAAATTCTATAAAGGGGGTTAGCGCTGTGGTTGGTGTT